GTGACCCTGGGAACATGCCTGGTGAATTTCTCCAATAATCGGGGAACTCCGCGAATGTTGGAGATGCCTCTTTGTTAGTATATAAGCCTGGCAGAGAAGAGCCAGCGAGGATAAAGCAAACAGTAGTTACAGTGAGTTTCGGGTAATTTGCGATTCTGTTTCGAGCTAGTGTGTGTGTTTTGCACTCGTAGAGAGCAAATTATCGAGATTGTGAATCGCTGTGATTTATAGTGTGTATTATAAAAGCTGTTAGGTTTAAAGTGACAAGAAACGTACTGACTGCGGAATTACTGTGTACTAAAAGTTTGTATCGACAAAGAATAAACTGGTTTAATCAAGAAAGGACTTGTATCGCTGAAGTTCCTCGGAAAGAATTTATACCGGAAATTAACAAACAAGCAGATACGTAACAATAGGTTTCAATGGCTTGATAATTTTGCAGTTTTATTTAATTAATAGTTAAAGGTTTAGTACGGTGTTTGAATTGTCAAGCATTATTAAAATTTGTTTCTAATATTGTTACTAAGTGTAATTCATTGTTAAAGGGTTTGTGATATCCATGTATCTTATACGTGTTTTTAGGAATAAAGTAAACTTAATATACTGCTTGACCATGTCATTGGTTTTAAATTTAAATTTAATTGTTGGCTTGAGAACAAACCTGAAACAGAGAAGGGAGAAAAAGTTTGATATGTAGATATATCATATAGAATTTAACAATTTTTTTAAATGTGCAATTTTAGAATAAAATATGGTCCAGAAATAGTTGAGATTGTCTTGTTCTAATTGCTTTGTTTCTTCGTTTTCTATAGTAGATAAGGTCTATTTTGTCCAACAGGATATTGCCGTAACAACAGCATCCAAGTTGAAAAGATTAGCACTATACTGTCCTTTGATAGCCGAATTGATGTTGTCTAAATGTAAGATCCGCCCAATACTTTGCGAGAACAAATGTCATGTGGTGACGATGTCAACTGAACAATCAAACTGAACTTACCTATTGATTTCAGGAGCGCTTTCTGAGTTCAGTTTTACCTAAATATCGACAAGTAAAAATGTATTTTTAAAATCATTGTATTTAGTTAAACGGGAGTATTTCCTGGGAGCAAGAAAGCTGTAGAGCTAAGCACACACTAATAGAAACAATTGTGATTCTGTATGCTCATGTACATACAGGGCTGGCCCTAGGAAAAGCAGGCCCAAATCAAGATGCATATTGGGGCCCAATATAGAATAAAGAATAAAAATATAGAATAAAATTTTATATCTAGAACAATTTATTGCAAGAAGTACAAATGTTCACTATAATTCAAATGTAGTTATCATTGAGTAAACGTGTTAAAAATAACATTTATTAGATTTAATGGACGAAAATTCTGAAATGATATTACTGTAGTTTCAAGTTAAAGCAGTATAATTCTCAATGGAGAGGATACCTAAGTTAGTCAAGTGATCTTGAGCACCGTTGATCGCAAGTAAGTCTTTATGAGCTTAAGTTTGGAAAACGTATTTCCCTTGAAGCAACAGTAACTGGAATAGTTACGAGGATACATAAAACAGTGGCGAAGTTAGGAAAGTCAACAGATTGTTTGTTGGAAGCTATGAAGTTCAAAATATTCAGACGATCAGTTTGAATTTCGTTTAAAAGAATGGGTTTTAAGGATTCCATCTCCTCTGCAAGCATGAAGCCATCAATGTCGTGGTGCTTGTCATCTGCTAGTACTGTTTCCAGATTTTTGCACGCTTTTGCTATTCTGACTTCGACAAATTTTCGAAGTTCTATATCAATTCAAACCTCTCATTATGTTCTTGAAGTTGTTTGAACCGTCGATCCTAAGAGGTTATGGCAGTATTCATAATTTGGTTGAAGCAGGGAATTTTAAAATCTTGCGATTATTCAATCAGCTGGTTTCTACTTTCATAGGCAAACATTTTCTTTCTTCTACGGATTCTAGTGTTTGTGAAAATTGGTTCGATCTCCATCTCGTTTGCAATTTTTCTTGCATCAGTCAGTGCACTGAAAAAGCTACTACTCTGGTATTCTTTCAGCCATTTACATGTACTCCCCAGATTTTCGATGGCGCTAGCTGAGTGTTTGCTATCATTTTTCATATCTTTGCTGACATAATTAACTTCAAAGAGGATCTTATACCAAAAGATGACAGCAATGATGAACTTGAAATACAAAGTGATTCTGCTTCACTTCTTGCTTGAGAATCTTTTGCTGTCTCAGCGATCTCAACAAGATTATAATACATTTAAACAGTTTAATATCGACACTTTGAACATGGCATTTCCATCTCGTTTCACTTAGTGACGTCACAGAGAGGTCATGAACATACTTGCGGAAGCCAGAAAATAAAACATACAAGCATTGAATTACCCCAAAGAATGAGATAACTTGATGGCACGCTTTGGTCATGTCACCGAGCAACAGGTTGTAGCTATGACATGCACATGGAGTAAAAAATGCTCTTGAATTCATGTGTAGAAGTTGTGCTTGAACACCCAAAAAGTGATCTCTCATGTCAGCATCATTGTCATAACCTTGTCCATAGATGTTACCAACTTCCAAGCCCGGTTCTTTGAGTAAAACTTCCAATAATTTCCCCCCTGTACTTTCTGAGACTTTTTGACGTGCTCAAATATTCCACTTCAAACATCCGATGATCCATCTGAAACACATTAGAGATTTAATGACATTTGCTCTTTGTGACTTATGTCTGGTGTACAGTCTAGTATCACAGAGAAATACTTTGTCATTTCGAATTTGGCGAATAGTTCTACAAGCCCCAAGCCAGAAGGCGATCAAAAAGGTTCCTCCAACGAAGTTTTCCAGAGTTGTTGACAAAATTATGATCTACAGTGCATTTTTGTTTAATCTTTCCTCAAGTTCCAACCATTGTGGAGTAGCTGTCAAGTGTCCCTGTGATCGTTCATGTTCAGATAGGCGTGAACTACTAATTACCCAGCCACAAAATCCATCATATCTTAAAGCATTGTTGGAGTTAACAAACAGCTTGCAGCAGAAGCAAAAAATTCGGTCCTTTGATGTAGAGTAAACTAGCCATTGAAGATTTGCAAAGTTCACTATTTTCTAACTTTCCTTTGAAGTTAGTACTATTTGAAAATTTTCGTCCATTGCGATCTCTTGGAAAGTCCTACTGTTCATCTCTTCTGGGCCTTTATTCACTAGAAGATCTCGGATAGTCATATCAATATGCTTTGACCAACATGTAGGATCATCGAAATGCAAAATTTCTAAATCTCTAGATTTAGAATCAGAGTGTCGAGTTATAGTAGCATCATGTGACTGCTCATCATCCGTTTGATCCTTCTCCAGTAGGTTGTCAACACCATTAACACTACCATCATTCATTCCAATGGTACCTGTATAATCATTGTCATCATGCTCATCCTTATTAAATACACCGTCTTCATTTTGATGAGATTCAGTCTTATCGGGCATTTCAAGAAATCGTTCAAACGTCCCACTTTTTTTTTTACGTTCTGGTTTCCTGTCTGCAGCACGCTTCCTTTTCTGATTACCACTGAGGTACTTTCGACCAGTATTTTGTAATCGCTTTGGCGGCATTTGAAACGAAAATAAATTGGTCCTTTATTATTATTATTATACATTATATTTATTACTTATTTACATATATTTATATATTTATTTACATATGTTATGAATATTTATGTAAGTGCGGAGTGAAGAGCACGAAACGTTGCTTTGTTCGCTTTGCCCTAAAGCCGCTTCTGAGTATACATGCAGTATTTTCTTTTTGTTTGTCCAATAATGTAGCATTTTTTTTTATTTCTTCCAACTTTGTCCAGTCTCATCATTTTACATACACTACGAGACTCGGTTAATTTGTCAGATCAGAAGTACTCTCCTTATTTCTTGAGCAAAGCTGCTGTTATTAGAAGGCCCGTCAATCAAATGTTTGTCGGGAAATCAATAATGTTTACATGAAAACACCACAATTTTACACGTCAAAATGAAATATTCTAGGGCGTTTGGTGTTTGTTTCCCTTAGTTTTTCAGCCATTGTTTACTTAATGTAAAGCTACAATATGGGCTCTCTACACTCTGTCCACTGTAGTGAATCAAACCCTGGATTTTAGCGTGCTAAGTCGGTAAAAATTACCGCTGCCCTTCGGAGTACTAGTTATTCGGATAAATAATAGGGAATTAACAATAGCAAAATTTTGTTAGAGATAGTTCAGGGGTAGGTGTGAGGAAATTTAATTAAAGGGTTTTATAGATGTCAGGATTAGGATATGTTTGAAAAGTAAAGAGGTTATTTACGTTTTATAGGAAGATAAGAAAAATACGGTGTAATATGCTTTCGGTTAAGAGGTAACTCTTAGAAAGATTGTCTAGTAGAATTGTTCCGTAGCTGTATTATTAAGTGAGCCCTTGGTGAAGTAGTCTTGGTGAAATATCGTGCATCTTACTTCAAAATCTGAAGTATTTAGTCATTTAATACTTAATATATTATTGTACAATATATCTAAAAACGTTTTCACGCAAACAATTTGTGTATAACTTAAAATTAATTTTTTATTTTATAAAAGCTTGTAAAGTATTTCTATCATATTGTTACGTCTCCGTTTGTTAATTGATTTTCCGTAACTTCGTTCCGACGAAA